ACGACTATTGTCGCATGTGTAAACGAAAAGAGAGTGTGGGTCGTTCATGTAACGAAGTGCGTAAGCTTATAATATTATCTGCTTGATAAAGTTATCGGTTTAGATGAATACCACTAGTGAAACAAAATAAAAAGAAAGGATAATAATTGAACCAGTTCTCTATCAGGATCACATCGTTGTTGTTGAATTTGCGTGCAAAATTTTTATGTGTCTCCCGATTATTGCCCAAGAAAACATAGCTGGAGTTGCATTGACTTCAGTTTATCAAGTTTATTCAGTGACATCGCTGGAGAAATTTATCAGAAATGTGTAAACGAATTTCCATACAAATTTTGACAGTTCATTTATAAGGTTTACACAATTATAAGTTTATACGGTTTACAATGCATTTATAAGGGCTGATGAATACCCTTAATAAACTGTTTTAAACTATGTTCACATATCAATATTAACACAACCAAACGTCGTTTTCTAATCACCCCGTTTACACAGGCAAATCTCAGATTATTAGCCGTCAAATTTGTTGTGCTTGTTATTCTCACATCTCAAGGCAAAGTTATGCTTCTTCTCTGTGCCCCCTGTGATCACGTTTTTATGCTATAATAAGCAATATAAATATATTTTAACTTAACAATTTATTAAAAATACCTTTACAAACCTCTTTTCCTTGCTAGCGTACATTTTTGTTTATTTTTACATATGGCATTTCTCCTCTTTTTTGCAAACACAATCGATAAAACCAGGATGGACACCGAAAAGTTATCGGTTTAAACTGAGATTATTTTATAATTACAGATTAACAAAGGACGAATTTTATACGGTTAATCTCTTGTTATAATTACAGATTAGGGTGTTAAGCTCGAAAATGAGGATAATCTACTTAAATGTGAACCTAGTATTATGCAATTATTTACCAAGGTGTGCATGAAAGACGGCGGATAAACTGATAAATTTAAGCAATTTATCCCTTTATCACTTTATATGAAGAGCACTATTATGTCAATTCTTAATATTGTTGGCTTCTTATTCGTGGTAAATATGTATTATGTATAGTTTGGAAAACGTAACTTATTATTATATTCCGAATCACATTCCCGAATTTAAGAAAAATTATTAACAGTGAAGTGGTAAAGAATAATATTTGCGAAAAATTTGTAAAGAGCTGTTGTTATTTTCAAAATCAAATCATGCGCACTTGACATATCATGAAGACCTAGTTAGCAAATATGACTGCCAATGCAGTTCTTGAGTCGAATTTAGTTCTAGAGGAAGTTTGGTGCAATGTTATCGAAGCAGAACCATTACAGAATTTTATAAATGTTATGTCACAACGCGTAAACGCTTTATAGAAAACGGAGAAGACTCTGCATGATATTATCATACCGCTCGGATGCCCGTACGTGAAGACGGCCAGTTATACAAAGTAACTTTTGATAGTAGTTGCGTTCCAGATGCTTCACGATTTGAAGGTTTTTACAGGAAGTCGTTCCAGGTGCCACCTCGGGTACTGTTTAGTAAGTGGCCCACCTATTTCGGGGTATTGCGTCCAAAGGGGTGACCCGATCCAAAAAAAAAATTGCACACACTTGTAGCCAAGGGTCTACCCATTATTTTAACATCCACTATTGTAATTTTGGGTCACTAATTTATTTACAAATTGGGTTTGAAATATGGCCTTTTTTGTAAAATTCGGAAATTAGCGTAAATTTATCACTCCTATTCTCCTTAAAGCAGCTACATCAGCAATATATTTTTATATTCTCCTTCACTTTACACTTTACTCGATGAGCTATAACTTTCTTTATAACTTTAATATTAACCAATTAATCACAATTTATTAAATAAAAACACCTTCTAAATCATGCGTCTGACTTTTGTTGCATATGCAAATTAAATGGCGTAGTTCAGCTGTCAAACTCCAAAATATGCAAAAGAATGAGAGACAAAAGAAAATAGGATATAACCCTGTAAGCATTAAAAATATACAAAGGTGTTCTCTGTAAAAGGTATTCAGATCCTTTTCTTCGCAAAACAGAAAGGAGAATTCTACTGCCTGAGGGTTATAATCCCTAAGTGCGGCCGAAGGCCGCCTACGTAGAAAGGTGTTCTCTGCAAAAGGTGTTCAGCCCCCCTTCTTTGGCAACACAGAAAGGAGAATTCTACTGCCTGAGGGTTATAATCCCTAAGTGCGGCCGAAGGCCGCCTACGCAGAAAGGTGTTCTCTGCAAAAGGTGTTCAGCCCCCCTTCTTTGGCTACACAGAAAGGAGAATTCTACTGCCTGAGGGTTATAATCCCTAAGTGCGGCCGAAGGCCGCCTACGCACAAAGGTGTTCTCTGCGAAAGGTGTTTAGCCCTCCTTTTTTCGACTGATAACCACCTTGGGATAACTTCTTTTATTTAAAAACCCCACAGATTCTGTTAGTTGGGTTATATTCCACTTCAAACTGCTCAGTTTGCCTCGGAAAATGCCGTTTTTACCCCATTTTCAAACGGTTCCCTAGGGGTCTGTGGGAGGTCCCCAACGGGGGGGTGGGGCTTTTCGTAAAGTGGCGACTAGCCCCTTTCGAATGAGGGGGATTTTGGGGGCCACGCCCCTCCCCCTCCGCCCCCCACCCCAAAAACGATGGGCCAATAACTAAACATTTCCCGCCACCTCCCATAAGGTTTATTAAGAGCGAAATACACCACACAAGCGGCTTGTCAAACATTCTTCAAACCTACTTTTCCCATTTCGCCATACACCATGCAAACATGACTCGTTCAGGCAAAGAATTTTAGTTTTCTTCCAGTTCGCAATGCTAAATATTATGGTTTTCTTTCATTTTCCTCTCTTACGTCCTTACTCGGTGAAAATTTCGTTGCGAATGAGGCGATTTTGCTATACACAACGCAAGCGGTTTGATCAAACATCAACATGGCGACCAGAAAATCAAAAAATTTTGATTTTTGCTCAAATTTCCCTCAAGCGGTTTGTCAAACCTTCAAACACCCCCATACACAGCACAAATGGCTTGAAGCAAAGGGAAATTTCGCTTGGTTTGTCAAGCCGCTTGTGTTGTGTATTTCGCTCTTTAATGGGGAAAACAGCTGTTCCTGCAAATCGTGAATTTTGTGAATATCGTGAAGCATCTGGAACACAACTAGTATTTAGAAACATCGATAGTGCTGGATAGTACTAACGATAGTTATTTAAAACCATCGATAGTGCAGGATAGTACTATCGATAGTTCTACACTTCTAACGTAAACATTTGCTGAGGTTAGAATTTGGCAATGGCTTCGGACAGTTGTACTTCTAATGTTAGTCCCGCACTAGCAGGTAAGGAAATTTCAGCGTTTAGTTTTACATCATAGGTTCGGGGAAGTTTATTGAAATTTTTGCTCGTTTTCTAGTTCGTTCTAGCGTTGGAGTGGAACTACGGGCCTGCGAAAATACAGATTTGCAATACGTGTACAAATCGAGTCTTCCGCGGGAGGAAACTCGGAATTGTCGATCCATATCATTCAGTTCTGATGGTCACTATTTCGCTTATTCAAATGGCAATGAAGTTAAAGTACTGAGTACAACGGATTGGAAAGTCAAATGTTCGCTGCCTCGTCCAAAAGCCTTTTACCTCAAATTCTCGCCGATTGGAAATTATATATCGACATGGGAGTTGTATACTGTTACCAAAGACAAACCGGAGGGTTCCTCAAATATGTTCATTTACGATCTTAGTTCCGGATCAGAAGTGTTTGATATTGTACAAAAAAATCAAACTGATTGGGAGCCATCATGGTCAACAGACGAGTCACTTTTTGCCATAGTAATAGGAGGCGAAGCACTGTTTTATGATCTATCTGGTGACTGTAAAAATTTTAATACCTTTACGCGAAAGATTGGAGGTAGCAGGGGCGCTATTGTATCTTTGTCCCCAGGCGCTAGTCCACCTTGTGTAGCGGTATACACGCCTGGTGCTAAAGGAGGGCCTTCAATGTGCAAATTGTACAAGTATCCTTCACTTTCACAAAACCAAGCTATCGCTTGTAAAAGTTTTTTTCAAGCTGATCGTGTTGATTTACTTTGGAACAAGCGTGGGTCCGGAATACTTCTACTGACTTCTACCGAAGTTGATAAAAGTGGTGCATCATATTATGGAAATCAAGCGCTACATTTTATGGCGACGAAAGGAGACTCGTGCTCCGTGCCGTTATGTAAGTATAAGAAATTCGCTGTATTTAAAGAAGGGTTTGAATTGCTGACTGCAAAATAGCATAAGCAACACTTTTTTTGCTTTTTAAAGCAAGCAGCTCTTGATCATTTTCAATGCATTTGACATTGTTTAGCTACGACCCAAGGTGCAATAATTACAGGTATTGTCTTCCAAGAGAATTTTGCTTCACATCGAAATCCCTGCTCCCTTATTTTTGACGCATTTCAATGTGGATTCTTTTACATTTAGTTGGCTTTGCTTTTGGTTTTCACTCAATTTTATTTCTATAATTTTTAAAACAAAAGAACGTTTGAAACATGATACAAAAAACAAGGTAGTTCCATTGTCACTGTTTCGTCGCCATATTAACAACCTGACAATTAAGCAGATTGTGACATTCCGTGCTACCTTACCCAATATCTAAAATCCTTCAAATTTTCTTATTATTTTTTTTGTAGATTTAAAAATCTTTGTTCTTAAGCATGGTATTTTATTTCTGTTTCACGTGGAACAGTTGTTAAATTGCATATAAAAGTTCTTTCTGTGAAATAAGTGTGAAATTCCACAACATTTCCTCAGCTGTGAAAAAGCTTGCAACATTTTTGCAACATGAAGCTAGCAACACAATTTTCATGACATTTTTAAATACACATGTACATCATGATTCAATAATGAAAGGTTTTGTAAGAAAAACTTTCTCTCGCTCTAATTTTATCAATGACACTCCCACCCTACTCCTAAAAACAAAAACAGTGATATTTCTTTTCCAAATATCTTTGCAAGTTTTAAGAACATTTTTAAATTGTTAGTAGTGAAATTTTTACTTTTTAAATTTGAAGAAATGTTGGTTCTTCATTCGCTGGCGCCAACAAGACAAAATGGTTGAGCATCGTTGGACTACAGAAATTCAATGTAGGCTAAAAAAACGAAATTCCCTTAAATGCCGAAATATATTTGTCGATATTCGTGGAGACCTCTTGATTCTGCCAAGTCGCTGTAAAGTAAAGCATGCAATGGTTTTGGTAAATGAGCCAACGAAGGTATCCTGGTGTCTCCGAATGAGGCTTTGACGCAATATAACATTGCCAAACCGCATCCATAGGCCCAATCGTCACACGACAGTTCGGTTTAGTCAATGGCACGATGTATGTAATTGCACACTTAAAAGATTTACGCACGAGGCGAATGTTGGCTGGCGACCAACTTTGTTGAAAGCGATTAGTTGAAAGTAGAATGCAAAGTTGAACAATGCAAACGCCTTTTTATGGCGAATATTTATATTTTTTTTTTATATTTTGATATTTTTAATCATTAAATTTTTTTTCGGGCAACCCGGCGAATGGTTAATATTCTGACAGTTGTATAGTCTCCCCAGAATATTAAAAGTGCGACATCAAAGAATTCGAATTACCATATTCGAAACAATCGAGCCATATCCGCGAAGGAAACGTAAGCTCCAAATTTTTATATTTGCCGTTTTTTTTTGTTTAATAAATACTGCATATTTTCCACAAACAAATAGCTTCTTCATATCCATCATCTGGCAAACAAATACAACAAAAAAAAAAGCTGAAAGTGGACCATCCTCCATCCATTCTCGAGTTATGCGCCATCTGACGTACGCAAGTTTGGTATATACATAGAAATATTTATTTTCAATAAAATCGGGGGTTATATTCGATGTAAATAAGCTTGTTTAAATTAAATAATTAAATCAAATTCGCTTTTGTTTTAAAATACCACCATTCACTATTATCCACACCTTTTTATGGAATTTAGCTCCCATTTTAGGAAGTGTGATTGAATTCTTCCCCTTTTTCTCCTGCTTCCATAAACCATCCCTGTGGGTGGGAGTGCCAAATTTTAGAAAAAAGCTACTTACAAAACCTTTAATAATTGAATCATGATGTACATTTTAAATTGTGTGAAAGCTGACAGTTTATAGAATTCAGTAGCGGCGAAAACAAAGGGGGTTAAGTGGTTAAACCTTACCCAAGCCGATCGTAAAACTTGCGACGCATTTCAGCTTATGCCTGTCGGTCTTGGCAAGAATGTAATCCCTCAAGGTTTAACTTAACATGGTTCTAGGGATAAACCCTGTGCTCATGTTACTTTCCAGAAGGTGTCGCGCCCGTTTTTCTGTACATATTTCCTTTGGAAAAATGTTTCATCTCAGTATTATAGGTAAATGCTTTCAGAGGTATCTATACGTCACCAGAAATATGGCTTATACCGCTAGCTCTCGTAGCTGGCTACGAGATC